CCATCCATCACCATCCTCCGGTGGTGCCACTCCGGCGGGGGAGTGGCATGGTATAGTATAGTCACCTTAAATAAGGGGTGGTATTTTTGGAACAACACTGTCATAGGTCACTAGAAGCTGAGGCCTATTAAAAGAAATTGAAGGAGCAGGGTGCTTTTATAGCCCTGAGAAAAGAAGACGGAGGCTCGATATATCACTCTACAAATAATTTATTGAATGTCACACAGAAGAAGGTCAAGATCTGTTCTCTGTTGTTCCAGAATGTAGGATATGTAATAATGGATTTACAGTAAGTTACAAAAAGGCAGATTCCAATTTTAGAAAAAAACCCAGAAGGCATCAGATTAGGGCATGGTATTATCACCGCTTGCAAAAATTCACATACACATATTGGAGACAAAATGCTGGAGAGATGGAATATAATCATGCATGCAACAGGGGATGAAAGAACTAGACAAGGAAGTCTTCTAAAGGGTAAGTGGGAGTGCCAGATGCAAATAAGCTGAATATGTGCCAAGCTCTGCTTTAAAAAATTACATTAAATCAATTCTTTATGTAGTGTTAAGCGTTTATTCATCACGTTTGCTGGTTGCTATCCATGAAATGGTAGATAACAATGTGTTTAAAGTTTGGCTTAATCCCAAAGAAAAGATTGGAAGTATTTAATTAAGGGGGAAAAAAGACACTGCTAAAATGGTGACTGGGAATTGCAGTCCTGATACATCTGGAGCAAGCAGATTTGGGAATGCTATTCCAGAGAATGGGGACATGACGATTCCACCAACCCCACCGGGAAAGACACTGTGTTCTCCTTCCCCTCCTATTGGAATCCTGCCCCTGAAACTTCTCTATTTCTCCCTCGGCCTCTGTAGTCTGCAAAGTTTGTTTCGCACTTCATCTACAGTGGGTAAACCTAGCCAAGCAGAAGGGTGTGGATCATTTGTCGCACTCTCTAAACTAGGAACAAGAAAATAAACAGAAGCTTGCTCAATCCAACCTCGCCAAGTGAGAAGTGGCTGGGAGATCCATAGCTTTCTCGTGTGGGATGAAAGAAAGCAGGTTCAAGCCACTCTCTGCAGGATAAGGAGAAACCAAAGCCCCATTCATGCCCGGGTTTAAACGCTGGCCCCTCGCTCTTGAGAGTGTTCTCAGTGTAGGAGATGGTCCGTGTAAAGTAACTATATACACTGAATAATGCTTGTGAGCATGCAAAGGGTTATCGACAACATATGCAGCTTGTAAATTGCAAGGTAGGGGAGGGGTTTCCAATCCAAACATGAGGACAATCTTGTGCCTTGGAACCTTTTCTTATAAGCAATAAAGTGCTGGGCTAAATTTCATATCATACTTTGGATTTTTAAAAAAATATATACTGTAAGTAAATCCTAGAATGACTATGGCCTAAAACAATGGTTTTTAAACTGGGGGGTAATTACCCAAGGGGCTAATTTGGGCATATGCTGGGGGCAATGGAGCAATTTGTAACTGCTTATTTGTGAGCCGAGGATCCGGTTTGGGACTGCTGCCATCAAGACACTTGTGTAAAACAAAAGAATCTGTTGTTTTTTCTGAGGGTAATGACATTATTTGAGACCAGGAAAAGGGGTAATCAGGTCAAACAGTTTAAGAACCGCTGCCCTAGAAAGTGAACGGCGTGCTTCTCTGCCCCATGTATGTAGAGCAGGACTTCTCATTCAGAGGTATGAAATTCAAACCATCAACCCAGGAATTTGGAGCGGGGGCGGGGGCGGTATATTTGTTTCCAATTTTGCTTCACTGCACAGTGTAGCCAGTTTTCCTGGTTGCCTCTGATCATGCCTCAGTAACAGGCAATACGCTTTGAAATGAGGTGGGAGGGATCCTTGGGACTCAGGTAACTCAACTGGGTGCAAAGGCCAAGGGGATAAGAAATGCTTCCATAACTTTAAACTGGTTGGCTCTCCTAAGGTCAAAGAGCTCGCTTGGAGTTACACAAATCGAGTTTGTGAGAGAATAACCTGAGCCGATGCTTGGTGTAATAAATCCAAGTGCCTTCTCCATGTACACACAGATATGTCTACATGGTCTAATTATATATTATTTCTGAATTTCATTAAATGACTTCATTTTTTGAAGAATGGTTAAGACCTTTGTCTGGGCTGATTAGGCACAACTGGTTCCATCTAGTTAAGTGTGTCTCTGAGCAACTTTGAGCAGGGCAAGCAATGGGCATTTGCTTCCAGTATTTTAGATATCTAGAAGCAGTTTGCCTCTGCACGTGGATGTTCCCTTTTAGCCAACATGGCCAATGTTCACTGGTAGAATTCTCCTCATTCTCCATGTTTTATCAAGCCCGCATTAAAGCCATCGGGCTGGCCATCCCTGGATCTTGTGACAGTGAGTTCTGCAGATTAATTTACATGTTTTGTGAAATGGACTTTCTTTGTAACTTATTGACTGAACTCACTAACTGACATTATTAACACAATTTTATATCTAATTTTTCCATTCTGTTTTCACACAACTTCTCTGTTTTAGTGTGATTTGAAATAGGAGAAGCATATCCCCTATAGCTATCTATTCCATTATCCTTACTACTTAATCTCTTCATCTTACTTTATCTATAAGTCTCCTGTGGAGTACTTTCAGTCCGGTACAAACTAACATTATGAAAATCCATTTCTAACAGTTTGTGCAAATCGTACACAGATTTTTCTCCCAGTTCCAGAATGTTCACGACGTTGCTGTTGGCCCTGTTCAGAGCTGAGCTCATATTTTTAAACAAAAATTTGGCTTCTGTCAAGCCCCCAATGGTTTCTTGATGCTTGGCAGGGTGACGAGCATAAAACAAGCAAAGTGTTGTTTGTGTTGCCGGGGGTGGGGTGGACAGTGGGGGGGGGGAACACTGCAGAAAAGATAATAATGACAAAACCAACTTGTGGAGCAAAAGGAACAAAATGTTCACCAGCAGAGAAAGATGGATCTCTTTGGGACTTGCCAGTACAGCTCACTGTTCCCAAGAGAATGGAATTTGCCAACTCCCAAATAATCAAACATGCAAGATTTGGTTGGGTTGCTCAAACAGTTTTATTGGGGGGGGGGGGAGAGAAGGAAAAAAAATTTAATTTACTATGTACAAAAAAGAAGAGAGGGAATCATGCTTGCCCTCAACTATGTATAACAAAATTCCCCCACCCACCCCTGTACAATCCCATTGCCAATGAGTGCCCTCTCTGTGACATCTTGGAAAAGAAGATTGGCAAAAGATTCCCAAGGACGAGAGTGTCTGGAGATGAACTTTATTTGGCTAGAGGGGCAGTGGCAGTTCTTTATCTCTTTTCCTTCCACCAGTTGCTGCCAACATGCAGTTCAAGGGGCGCTACCTTTATGGCTGACCGTTTCCTGATGGTGGGAAAAGGAGACCCTGCCCTCATTCTAAAGGATCCAGAATGAGAAGAGGAAGAGTATCAGCCATCTTTATTCCTCAGCTAGGCAAATTCCCGTGCTTGAATATTCAAATATGGCCACCAAATTTCGTCAGACAGCTGTTCCCCCTTTCTCAAATACAGAACTCATCGTTCAGTGTGGGAAAGGCTCATTGGTTGTGTTCTCCCAACACACTTCACCTGGGTACCGAATTAAACCACTTCTCTAAGTTCAAATGCGCACTGAATCATAAACTAACCAATTAGGTTGGGTTTGTTCAAGACAACAATCTCCCAAACTAACCATGATTAAAGCTAAGTACTCTTAGCATGTTGTGTGAATGCAGACAAAACTTCAGGGAAAGAGGGCTCTCTCTGCCACTTACCACCCATTTCCCAGGATTATTCACTAACAGTCCAGCCACCCCAAGTTCTGACATTGTCCTCATCCCCATGTCCAGAAAATGATCTTACTTCTCCTTCATCGCTTGAGGGGTTCCCCTTCAGAAACCACAAACGGGTAGAAGATACAGATATCCAAATTTGGGGGGGGGGGAGAATCCAACAGCACAGAAACCCCCATTCAAAGAGGCAGTCCACTTGACCCTTCCAGGTTTATACTAACCATCTGCAGTCATTTTGACCCCCTGTCAGTCTTAAGGGAGGGACTGAAGGCCAAGCTTGAGCAAGAGGGATGGGATCTTCATCAAGTGCTTGATGAAAGTCTGAGAGTGTTTTAGATCAGAGGCAAATAATATCCACAAAAAGAAAAACGGGGCCAGGCAAGTTCCTTCCCCTTCTTAGGAACTCCGTACAAAGGGAGTCACAGACCATCACTGTACAAATTCTCATTGAACATGGGAATAAATCTTGGTGGAAGTTTTTCTTCTTCTTGAGCAAGCAAAGGTGAATTTAACACGTCCTGGTAGGCTTGCAACACTTACAACCATGGGGGTGGTCTGCCATCTCATACATAGTTCTTCTTGTCATAGCTCAGTGCAGTAGACCTGGGTGCAGAGTAGACCAGGTGTGTGGGTTTGTACTTCTCCTCCTTGGGGGGACAGGAACAGCAGAGCAAGCTTCCCCCGAAAATAAAAAGGATTGCTGCTGCCCAGCCGATGTAGAGTGAAGGTCCTATCTCCCGTTTCAGGGACTCTGGGACTGCTGGATTGTAGAAGTTGCGGACAACTTGATTGGCAGACCAGGAGACGGGGATGAGAGTCAGGAGGCCAGTCAGCAGGAAGATGACCCCAGAGACGATGGTGACCTTAGCCTTTGTAGATTCATCCTCAATGCAGCGAGTGCACTGCGCTCCCATCAGGAAGATGAGTATCCCCATTACCCCGAGGACAATGGAAATGACGATTAAGGCGCGAGCAGCCTGTAGGTCCGGTTGCAACGCCAGCATGGAATCATAGACCTTGCATTGCATCTGGCCAGTACTCTGGGCCACACAGTCCATCCATAGCCCTTCCCAGGTGAACTGCGCGGTGATGATGTTGTAGCCGATGAAGGCAGTCACCTTCCACATAGGCAACCCGCAACACAAGATGGTGCCTATCACGCCCAGGACAGATAGGGCTACACCACCAATCTCCAAACCCATCGACATGTTGGCGCCGTCAAGTCAGCTACTACCTTCCAAACTGCGGTGCGGTCTGCTGCTTTCTAGTTGTGAGGTTTCAAGCAAAGCAGGTGAAGCACCCAAAGCTCTGAGCTGATTTATAACCGTCCTGTTCGGCTGGGCGGGCTGTGTTAGCTCAAGCAGGGGTGGGGCGTCACCAACGGACTCTCAACCTGCCCTACCCTTGTGCCATCCTCTCTTTTTTTCTTTGTTTGTTGAGATGGCATTTGTGAGAAATGGAGGTTTGCTATACAGGGCAAATGAGGAAACTAGCCTTGAACTGAATTCCAGCTGGTTCTCTGCTGTAACACTTGGTTTCAGAGCAGACTGGCAGGCAAAGACAGGATTGGCGACAGAAAGCAAAACACCTTGTAGGGAGGCCCTCTGATTCACCCAGGCTACCTTTGTTGCATTTCAGCTTTGGGTTGGGTCTCCTTTTCACAGGGCCTCCAAAGTACCCATCGACAGCTGAGCTTGACTCAAGAAATCTTTCTTTCACCAAGTCTGTTTTTGGCTTTTTCATAATATTCAGTAGCCTGGATGCTCATCTAACTTTTGGGAGGAAGGGCCACAATGGGCATAATGATGACACAGAATGCAAGCATGCCTATCATGCGTATCAATGAGCCCCCTTTGGTGGTCATGGCAAAAGGAACATTTACTACATTTTTCCTGAGTTTCCACCTCAAAATGAGAGTAAACACTGCTGCATATTTTGACAATTATAATCTAAGGTGCTACGGTACAGGTAGTCCTCGACTTACAACCACAATCGGGACTGGGACTTCCATAGCTAAGTGATGCGATCATTAAGTGAGTCACCCCCAATTTTACTACCTTATTTGCTGGGGTTGTTAAGTGAATCACCATGATCATTAAGCGAATCCAGCTTCCCCCATTGACTTTGCTTGTCAGAAGTTCCCTGGAATGTTGTAAATGGTGATCACATGACCCCGGGATGCTGCATCCATTGTAAATACATGCTGGTTGCCAAGCACCTAAATTCTGATCACATGACTGCAACAGTCATAACTGCGAGAACCGGTCATAAGTCACATTCTTCAGCACTGTCATAACTTTGAACAGTCATTCAACAAATGGTCATAAGTCAAGGACTACCTGTATAGGGGTGACAGAAAAGAAGCCTCATCTTTCCTACTCATGCCTTAATGGAATACAAAAGGAGGACAGTTCAACCAAATGCTTTAACAGTGGATATACCAGGCCCATAAGCCCTGCAGAAAAGAGCAACAAGGGTAGAAATAATCTTTTTTTCTGTATAGCTCAGGTAATAGGGCTGAGACAGACCCTGGGTTACCTGAAATCCCCAGGAACTGCTACCAGTGAAATATTTGGTTACAGAAGTACATGTGACTCAGGGCAGATCCACATTTCCAGTTGACTCCAGCACCTCCTCAGAGGACAGCATTGGATGATGTCATGCAGGAACCACCTCTAGCCAGCAGCCAACACCACCTTGCCTGTATTTTCTGACTGAGTATCAAAAATAGCACTGACTAAAGCCATGCTCCCTTGCTTCTGTGCCGCACTTCAATTCCTTGTAAGCAAACCTCTCCACTCCAACTGTTGGTACTCTACCTGTTTGGGAACCCACCCACCTCTGCAGTCCATCAGTGACATGGTGAAAAGCTGGGCTTTTTTCTTTTTTTAAAGTTCAGTGATGGAACAGTGAAACAATGATTTTTAAGTTTTTAAACAAGTTGGGTGGAATCCTGCAAGACTGATCCGTCTTTGTTTTCATTGGGTGAAATTGACAAGAATTCTGCTACTTTCCCTTCTAGCCTAGCGAGGGAAAAAATGGTAAAACAATATATATTTTTTCTGTTTCTTTCTTTCCATCTGGAAAGGGCTTTCTTAAGCCACCTTCCTTTCCAGCTGCTTTACACACAGGAGACAAGCAGCTGAAAATTGCAGTTTGGTAAAGCTATCAATCCATGAAGTACTTTTGTAGTCTTTTGGTTGTCCATCTAATATTGGAGGCAGCATGTTGAACCAGGTGACTTTTAGCTGAATCCCTTGAGCAGTCCTCAGCAAAGCTCTTTTTTCTACTTTCTATCCTGGAGTTTATTTAAGGCTTGGTGGCCTTTGAGCTAAGCTTGTTGAACAAACTACCCTAAAGAAAGTAAGTTTGTTTGCAATTGTATTTATTTCCTCCTTGGGTACACATTCCCAGATAGCCTCTGATCCACAATCTAATTAGCACACGTTGCTTTCCAACCTGTTTAACTGAATATAATGAAGTGCAATGCAGAATGGCAGATCAGTGACCAGGCTGAAACCGTCCCCTTTTCTCTGTCCCAGCAGAGATAGGAAGCCAAAAAACAAGCACATCTTGCCATCTCCCAAAGAAGGAGTTATGGCCAAGAATAATGCACATGGGTGCCAAAAATCGTAACTACTCGTAAAACTAATGGGATCAGAGCTTTCCTGATGACGAAACAGATCTTGGAGTAGTGGAAAACAGTTCAATGAACATGTCAACACAGTGTGCAACCAGTGTAAAAAAAGGCCAACAGCTTGTTACGGATAATAAGAAATGGAATTGAAAACTGAGATGTTAGTCTCATAATCCCTTATATAAATCAATGGTCTGACCACATCTGGAATATTGTGTGCAGTTCTGGTCACCACACCTAAATAAGTGGACCTAGAGAAGGTTCAGAGGAGGGCAACTAAGACGATCAAGGGGCTGAAGCAGCTTCCCTATGAGAAAAGGTTGTGACATTTGAGGGTTTTTCATCTACAAAGCAGGCAAATGAGAAAGACATGATTAAGGTATACAAAATTATGCATGGTGTGGATAACGTAGACAAAGAGAAGCTATTTTCCCATTCCCAAAATAGTAGGACCAGAGGTCACCTAGTGAAATTGAATTGTGGAAGAATCAGGACAGACAAAAGGAAACAGTTTTGTATACAACATGTAATTCAGCTTTGGAATTCACTACCAGAAGATGTGTTGCTGACTACCAGCTTGGGTGGCTTCAAAAAAGGGCTGGACCAATTAATTGGAAGTCCTGGGGATCAATGACTATTAACTTTGATGGTAGTGGAACTGCTTCTGAAAGCCATCTGCTGGGAAATTAGGGGCCTTCCTTGTGCAGTTGGCCACTGTGAGAACAGACGTTTGGACTAGATGGGCCAGGAGTCTGATCTAGCAGGGCACAACTTATGGTCTTATGCTAAATTTATGGAAGGCCAACCAAGGCATGATTAAAAGCACACACATTTACTAACAGTCGGGCTATATTATGGAGAAGTCTTTCCAGCTTCACAGCATCAGTGGAACCAAGAGATCTATGCTGCAAATATCTGGACTGCTGTTAGATGACAGCAAAGTGGTGCAGAAAACTAAATCTTTGTCTAGGGTTTTGCAGCCTGGACTTGGTACTCTAAGCACCAGTCCTGGACATCTTGCCACCTGACGGTCAAGTTAAGAGGTCTTTCCTTCCATGGTCAAAAGCTAATAATATTTTCAGCAGAATCCAATTTTTAACACTAGTGAAGGAGCAGTACCCTCTGGAACAAATTAAGATAATTGAGAAGGAGCAGGACTGTCTTCCCAATAGTTTGCCATCAACCCTTTCCCTCCACATCTGCTGCATTATGCCCACTGGCAGAACCGACCCTATGTGTGAATTCTTCCTTCTTTGAAGATTCAGCTTTCATTTAGAACAGGAGTGGACAAATGCTTTGGCAGTTGGGGCTGCGCCCTTCCCTTCCCTTCCCTTCCCCCTTCCCCTAGGAGTCAAGGGCTGTATTAGATTGGGTGGTGATATAATGATGACACTGTAGGGATGAGATTTATGACTTTCCACTTTTTTGTTTTCTCTGTATCTGATGCATAATACTCATTGAAAATCAGTGAGCAGCTGTGCTGGTGTTTAGTGGCACAATTTTGGGTAGGGCAGTGGTGTCCACAGGGGGATGGCCAAAACAGCATTGCACAATGCTTCCCCTTTTGTATATGCATTGTATAAGTGTACCAAAGAGGCAGAGCTTGCATTGTGATGCTACACCCATCATCTTGCCTGCTTTGATCACTTCCCCTATGGATATGGCTGGATACAGGTGTCTCGGAGAGCAACTGGCATCATCTAGCTACTGAATTAACCCATATTCTGGATTTGCACAATAGATTAAACCATCAGCTCATCAAATGAGCTGGGATTGCCACACACACATGCACACACAAATCAATCCAGGGCTAGTATGCTTGCAAATGCATCTGCTTGTCTTCCCTGACCTGGCTGTATGTGCTACTTTATTTTCCTTCTTTTATAGTCTATTACTTTATTTTCCTTCTTTTATGGTGTTCTAAACTGGGCCTGGACTAAGATGGCTTTGCTGTTGGAGTCTGGCCACATCTGATATCTCACTCTGTCCTGTTGATGTATGGTTTCACTGTGTTGTTTTTCAGTCTGAGAACTTGAGAAATTTCTCTCTCTCTCTGTGTTTATGTCTCTCCTGTTTCCTCATATTTGAGACATGACTGCAGAAATGTATGATTCCTGCTTTCTGGGTTTCAGGTTTCTTCAGGACCTTGTGAGGATCTCCAAGTGTGTAAATACTGTGTTTGCTGTGCTTTTATTAAGATGCTATTTTCTTGGAACTGAAGCTTGGAACTATGAGGAAGCTGGGGCAGAAAATATTTGTGTGTGTGTGTGTGTGTGTGTGTGAAAGAGAGAAAAAGACAGAGAGAGAATGGTACAATGATATTCCTTTTAACTCAAGGGCAGGCAATCTGACACTCCAGGGGTCAAATGTGGCTTTCTGACCCCCCAAGCCTTTTTATGCTGCCTCTTCAGCTCTTTCAAATGTATATATTGGATGGGGCAGTAATATAGTTTCCCATCATGTTAAGCCTTAAAATAGGCTTAAAAGAGTTTTAAAAAACCAGAGAAATCCCCTCCCCAGAAAATCCCACCCCTGCTTGTCACGTGCTTCCACCCATTTTATTACTGCCCCGCTCATTGCAGCCCTGCCCCTCCTCACAGTAAGTGCACCAAAGAATTGCCCACCTACACTACATGCAAACCGAGCTACTTCATGCAGACCACTACTTCATGT